CCGGGCGGTCAAGATTACGTCGTGGAGGGCGTCGCCCCCCCCCCCCCCCCCCCTCCAAAAAAAAAAAAAAAGCACCAAAATAAACAAAACTTCACAAGTTTAACGTAATAGAACATCATAAGAAAACGAACAAAACAAGGCATCGAAGAATTCCTTTCCCTAAAATCCTATATAGGGAACGCGGCACACTTAGATAATGAATCGTACACCAACGTGAAGTATAAAGACGGAGAGCGCTAAACGGGCAATAATCGAGTCCTCCCTTGATCAGCGAGCCCTACTTTCGTTTCCCACCAATTGATGGACGTATTCTGCCGCCGCCAGGTCCCCCAAAGGGGTTCCAATATGGGGAGACCATAAAGCAGGAGAGGGAAGAGCGAGCACCCGTTGCTCGCTTTACGAGCTGCACTCACCGACGCGCTTCCGCGGCTCTCCCTATATTGGTCGCTTCCCTTTTTCTCCTTTCTCCCGCGTTTTAGGTTTTCTTTCGGCGCGTATACGGATGACAGCGTAAGGATATAAATCAGGGGAGCGAAAGAATTCCTCGGCCAGGAGTTTTTCATTTGAATGGTTCCTCGCTTATGCGAAGCGTATACGAATGACCTCCTGGACGATTGTGCGACGCTTGAAAGCCATTGGGAAAACGGACAGGAATATTCCCGCGGTTGGTTCTGGCGTGGGCAGACGGGATCTTCTTCCTCTGCTTTGCCTCCGTCCGCACGACACGTGCACCGAAGGTATTGCTTTGAGTTCCCAAAGTCAGATTTTGCGGTCTTTAGATGTGCCAAACCAACAAAAGGCATCTGGCACGACCCAGTGGAAACTGAGGATTCATATCGACCACCTGGGGATCTTTTTGATATGAAATCGAAATTGCGGTTACACGCCGCCTTCTCCACAGTAAGCCTGCGTCAGACTGCAGGCAAATCGGCCGGGATTCGAACTGGCCACCTGGAGATCGGTAGGTCCGCCCTTGGCCTCGGAGCATTTGCGTCCCCCGGCACATGCCTCATAATAAGGAGTTTTAGTTGACCGTGTTTCCCCCTCCGCTCCGAAGAAACCACCGCTGCGCCTGCGCGCCGATGGCCTTGACACTAGCGTTCCGGGTTGCGAGGGGCTTAGCGAAGCGGGAAACACTGTCTACGAAAACTCGCTACTATTTCCCTAAAACACAGGTGTGACAGTAAGCGGTCGAGATTTATGTTGTGCCCACTGAGATTTCTACGAAAAGCTCCATTTAAGATGAGCAGAGCGCGAAATTGACAGAGAAATAAAAAAATAACACCGACCAAGGTTCCATCATAGCTTTTGCGCGGCGGGTTTTAGCTCACCGGTGAACGGCCACCTCTCCAGCTTGGCAAATGTTGCTTGAACTGACAATATGAGAGCGGCAGGGCCTTTGTTTCGGGTGCCCAGCGTTCCGGTACCCGCTTGTCGCCATCCGCCGTGCTTTGGATCCGCGTCCATGTTGGAGGCTCACAAGACGCGCAAAGTGTTATCGAGGTAGGAACCTAGCGCTGGAGGATGGACATCCGAAAGACCTGCCTGCCGTTCTCCTGCCGTCGGTGACTGTAATATCGTCTACAGACCATTCCATAAAAGGGGTTTTGGCTGGTGCCCCTTGCAGTGTTCGTACGCATGGCACGCGCTTTGCTCGCTTTCCGAAGCAACGAATTCGCGCGTGCTGGGCTGCAGAGCTTACGCACTGGGCTGTAGGGATCATTACGCAACGTGAACATTGGAATGGCTTTGTAAACCCCGCGAGCGTTACAGAATCTACTGGCGATTTTCATGACGTGCTTGTGAACCTGCTTTCATGACTTCGCATTTTGACCGCCAGGCGATGTGAATATCCGATTCGCTCGAGAAGGCTGGAGGACGAACCTGCCGCCACAGATTTCCGTTCTAGTCGCTAGGTGCCGTCGATTTCGCTGGAGTCGCAGCGAGCTTTGGGCTTTCAGCGACCCTGTCAACTACGCGCGCACAGTCAAGGCTATGGGCGCATGTGCGGTTGTGCATCTAGTGCGGATTTTAAGGCTTTTAAAGCGCTCGCGCTTTGCTACTTAGGGCATTTCAGAAGTAGTAAAGTTCTGTGAGTATAGAGTTGTCCGTCAGGGGCTTCGCTCGCGTATCGCGTGTTCCAGTGACAATCAGCTGACGTTCAGGCGCAGCTGTTTCTCCTCGTTCGTACGGTAGGTCTGCACACGATTGTCGAAAAAAATATGTCGGAAAAAGAGCTCACACTACAGGTTTTCATTTCTTCCTTTCAGTTATAAAAAGCGGACGTCCACAAAAAAAAATAATAATAAATAAATAAAAATAAAAGAGGCAGAACTCTCGGAAACAGCGTATTGCGGAGCACGATCCCGAACGCACCTGGGCTGGCATGTGCCGAGTCTCCGTCGCTCCGACGGCTCGGAAGAGGCAGCGGCTAGCAGAGAACAATGCGGAGGTGCCGCGCGGCGTCCGTACGAGCGCTAAACGGAACTTGCGACGAGACGGAACTCGTGAATCACGAAAGGTCGCCCCGACGCTTCACCCCGCCGCCGCGTCCTTGGGCCCCTTCCACGTCGGAGACACGACACGAGCATGCATCACGAGCCAGTCATCAACGGCCGTTTTCCCGAGAACGGACCGCGCAGCTCGGCGGGAAACACTCGTGTTAACCGCGCGTTTTTCCGAAGGCACGGCGATTCAAGCACGGAAATACTCGAGAGTGGGCATGATGGCCCCGCCCGAAGTCTCACGATGTGAAAACGACGTCGATGACCAACGTGCGCCCTCGAGCAAGGTACAACCCAGGAAAAGTTCCTATTGACTGGGCAGATGGACCGTGAAAATCGCCACAAAGAAATGTATTCGCGACTACCGCCATCCTGAAGCTCCACAAAGGCTTTTGTTCAACTAAAGTGACGAAGGAACACTTCTCGATACTTGATTTTTTTTCGGGGACACGCACACACACACACCGCATGGATGGATGGGCGACTTGAAGGGGCAACGGGCGTGAAGTCCAAGATTGTCACATCTCGGGGAGACGCGTGAGCAAAGACTCACTCCGCTCGGCACGGCGACAGCGCGGCGGCGGCAATTCGTGGCCCTTCTCTTATCGCGCGGGCACTTCCGAAGACAGCGGCGCGCTCTGTTTACACGGCGGGGGGCACAAAAGAGTCGTCCGCCACACACCAGCCGGAGCATCCTCCCTCGCAAATCCCGCTTAGAGCCCAGAAGCCACGAACGCCGCCGGACTCGTCCGAGAGAACAAAGCAGTTCTTTCCAAGCTCCGTGTTGTTCCGTCGCCAAAGCCGGCGGAACCCCCCTTTTGAACACCGCAGCCGGGGCGGGAGCGCTGAACCAACCGAAGTAGGCCGGAAAACCCTCTGTTTACCACGGACTCAAACGCCGGCCACGGGAGAAGAGCGGCCTGGAGCTTGTGAAGGCTCACAATCTACGCCAATCGATCGGACAGCACGGGGAGCCAGTTGGAAAGCCGGCTTTCCGGTCAGAATTCCATTCGTCCGATTTCGTGAATGCGGCAGTTTTGAGGGGATTTATTGCGACTCGAAAATCTCGTGGAGGACGCGAGGAAGCTCTCAAAGGAAGCGTGACGGAGCGGCGTTTTAACAATGTAGCCAGGAAGACCGTCGACGAAACATTCCACTAATCCTCTGCGTTAATCAAGTCCGACGGTAACAAGCGAGTCAACGAGAGCTGGATGATGAGATAATGTTTGGATCTGGCATAGTAAGTCAACTTATTCGCGGGAGAAAAACGCGCGGTGTGCGATCATTGCGATGTAAACAAACGGTTTCTCTTTATTTTAGAAGGAAACCTTCAAATACTACGCAGGAAGTTTTTCGCCTAAGGGAAGCGGCGGTGCGTCGAAAATTATTGCTTCGTGTTGCCTCTTGAGGCCCGCTCAACGTTCAACCGACTAACAAACTGGAAATCACCAACTGCGAGAGACTTTCCCGCGTGAATCACGCAAAAGCAATTGATGAAATCACCAAGCCGCCAGCTAAAAATACACGCCGATGAGAAAAAGCACCGCATCGCAAAACAGAAGGGGAAAAGATTTGTAAAAAAATTCAGCGGCGCGTTGTTTTGGGCTGTTTTTGTACTCTAGGAATGACTCGCGTGCGGTCATCAATAAAACTGTCGGACGACCGCTACACAATCGCTTCTTGACCCGCAGGTTCGAGTAAAACGCAAGCGAAAAGTCACACTAACAAAGCGTGTCGGTACACCGGCTGTGCCACAACCAAAAGGTATATTCTCTCGGGACAAAACAATGTAGTTCTTGCAAAACGTCAGCTCTGCGGCCGCTTACAACGACGCAGAGTGCAGCTCACAGGTGGACCGCGGAGTCGAAGCGAACGCGGTCCACGAAAACGTATTGACATCTCAAAGCAAGTTTCAAGTCAACGGACGAACGATTCACTACGCGAACGACGCGTAAAACATGGGCCGTAAAACTCGTGTGCTCGTAGTCAGTCGAGAAAATACCAGAAAGTGTACTACTGTAAGGAAACGCCCGGCGTTATCTCGCAATTTGTATTTCCCCCGGTGGCATGTCCTGTTTTAAAGATTAGACGCACGTCGCTATTAGCATAACAGCCGGTGCCCATCGCAAATTCAAGTCGTGGCACGGGAGAAACGCCTTGAATGCGCAAAGCGGTGCGCTCCGCCGTGTGCTAAAACACAAGTGCTTCACTGTGTTGCAGCTTCTCAAGCCGAAACCGGCTCATTTATAGATCGCGCCAGAGGTACTATGTACGCCGCTTTCGGTTTTGCCGCATAGCCCGCACTTGAGTTCGATTAATCACACGCCGCCCACGGAAGAGCGAATAAGGTTCGACGCTAAGCTTGATACGGACGATAATTCATCATAATTCCGTGCCGGCGCTCCTCGCATTTATCCGAGAACGCGCCCTAATTATGTGCGAGACACGCGATAGCGCGGCCGGGAACAGACATGTAGTACGTAAACGTTTGCTCACCTCGAAGCCGAGCTGTCAAATCCTCGACGTTTCAGGGAATTCCTCGACGAAGTACAAAGTTGAGTCTCTCTAACAGAAAACACACACACGGAGCCGCTGTTGCTTGTTCACACTGTCAGGACTGCCGTCCAAACTCGGGGTTATAACCACCACAGACACCGACTACTTCTAAACGGGCCGAATTCTTGCGACGACGCTGACCGATGAGATGCGCGAACAAAATATCCGACGAGAGTTGGTGAGGGGAGGAACAAAACACGTACGGCGCTCCGAAGAAGAAAGTAAAATGGCTCAGAAGTGGCTGCAAAATCCAAACTGCCCGTGAAAACAACAATCCAGGGTCCGGTCACATCCTGCGAGATGCGAAGATCGGTGTTGGTAGAGCGGCAGAGTCGACGGGCAGAAGAGAAGGAGCAACAGGCCGCTGCAAAGCGACGACGCGCACACGACGTGTTCGAACACGCTCCCTACCCCGACGAACTCTGCCTTGCAACTGCCAAGTGCCGCCGGACTGAGAGACCGGCTCGGCAGACCGGAGAAGCGCGCACAGCGCGGAGATCTAGGGAAGGCGTCTCCAACACTGCCGGTACCTAGATTCCCCGGGGGGAGCGCGACTGTTCCCCAGATATCCCTACACGTCGCTAGGCGGAGTTGGAAAGGCCCCGTGGAGAGGGAAGTTTGTAGGCGCCAGCGACGGAAGTTTTGTTCTTTCATTCTTTTCAGAGCTTCGTCCTTTCCTTCTTCTTTCGACAAAGGAGAAGGAGAGTGGCGAAGAAGAGATTGAAGAAAAAGAAGCAGACGACAACAACGGTTTAGAACGAAAAGAAGCACAAAATCGCTCAGGAGCAAAGAAAGTGGAAGCTTCTCTTGATTTGGGTAGTGTTTGGATATTTTCGTTTTCTGTGGGTTTCCGTTGGAGTTTCCAGATAATAGAAAATAAGGGGGCACCGCGGAAACAGGGTTTGATGAAGAAAAGGTGGGTTTCCCGTAAAATGAAACGAATATAGAGGTTCTGGCATCCAGAACTTGAAAGGGACCGACTGACCGCCTTAGTGTGTCGCTCGAAATGATTGCATTGTCTTCGTCAAGACGAGGCATCGATGTAGCGTGACTCCAGCTCAAGCTTATAAAATGTTATTGCCTTTTTTTATATAATTATTGTGCCAATTTTTGAGGCACTCCTCAGAAATCGGTGCCAGTCACCAATTCAAAATTGATTAAAGAGAGGTTGATTTTGTATTAACAAACCAAAACAAAAGGATTTTTTTTTTTTTTTTTGCAGGCATTGCTAAACGCGAATGTCAGAGATCCTTTGTTCGCAATGTTTCAAACGGAGAATGAGTGCCGCACCGAGTTCCAGGTTCTTTTGAGTGAAGAGGGCACGTCAGTTTCGGCATCCGTCCCGTAGAAAAGCCCGTTCCCCGCCTGGTATTTACCTGTCGCTATTTGCTCAAAGCTAGTAGTAGCTTTAGCAAATAGCTAGTAGTAGCTTTAGCAAATAGCGAATCATGTGCACGTTTGCTTCATGCACATGATTCGAACATGTCTGCAGAGATTTTTTGCAAGGCCCATGTGGCATGCCATGCAAGAAAGAAGAAACAGACCTGTCTTTTTGCATGATGTAGTGGCAGTGAATCGCGTGCTAGCCTTTAGCGGCTTCCAGATTAGATAGCGCACTCTAAAAGAAAAGAAAAACACCTTTTTTTTTTTACGAAATTGTGCCGGAGCATGTGCCCATGAGACGCCACATGCAGTGTCGATGAAACATGTGCCGAAAGAAGTGTATCCCTGGAACGATGTCCACAAAGCGTCTTTCAACAAAACTACGAAGTTTGCCCCCCCCCCCCCCCCCTCCTCAAAAAGAAAAACAAATATGGGGTTTTTCTATTTTTAATTGCAGCAATATAATATGCATCGTCCGACGCTCATTTTCCGCCCATATGTACCGAACCAGTTGCCAAAGTTTCAAAGTGAACCGATATATTATTCAAAAAGTTATAACTAGTGATTTTCTGAAAATTCTCCATGTCTAAATGGCGTCCCTTCTCGCACCTTTACGGCTTCTGGTGCCATAGAGCCCCATCTATTCGAGAGCTCCCTCTGTCGGCCGCCCTTTTCCCATTTAAAAGTTTCAGAAAATCACTGATCTTTCGATTAAGATAACGGTTGGAGCTGAAACTTTACCGTCTGGTTGGAACCTCTAACGCTATATTTTGTATGGATAATGAGCGCTCGGCAATGCGTAATTTATTTTCGCAAAAAAAAAATATTTTTTTGGGGGGGGGAGGGGGGGGGGGGGCAGCCGGTATGCATGCTTCAATGGTTCTGCGATTCAACCGATACGTTACCACAACCTCTCCAAACAGACGAGCGATCGAAATTAACAGAGAACACGTTGGCGCGCTGGTGAACTTTCAACATCTTGAGCACCAAAGGACTGGACACGTACACAGACCCGTGTGTGTTTGTTGTCCACTTTTCTGTTCATAAAGCCACAATAGCAAATGCTAAATCACACAAAAGACAGTGTGCAAACGTTGGCCGAGGCGTCTTTCTTCTTCTAGTAAAGCGGTATAGGTACACTGGGCACAATGTACTTTCAAAGTACAGGGTGTCACAAAAGAAAATTTATACGGTCTTTTTTACCGCAAAAATAAACTAGGCATCGCCGAACGCTCATTCTCCGCCCAAAGGTAAAGCTAGAGGTCACAACCAGATGCCAAAGTTTCAGCCCGATCCGATAACTTAATCAAAAGTTAGTAGTGATTTTCTGAAAATTTCAATGGGAAAATGGAGCCCATTTTTGCCCGTTTTCGGTTTCTGGTGCCATAGAGCCCCATGTGTTTGAAAACTCGGTCGGCCGCCATTTTCCCATTGAAATTTTCAGAAAATCACTTATAACTTTTGATTAAGTTATCGGACCGGGCTGAAACTTTGGCATCTGGTTGTGACCTCTAGCGCTACCTTTGGGCAGAGAATGAGCGTTCGGCGATGCCTAGTTTATTTTTGCGGTAGAAAAGACCGTGTAAATTTTCTTTTGTGACACCCTGTACAATACAAGTACTAGTACACAATATTTCACAATAAACTTTCATTCCTCCAAAAAGTGTTTTTTTTTTGTTTTTTTTTTTTTAGCTGGTACGCATTGTTCCAAGTGGAATCGAGGGTGCATCAGTTATCTTAGGAAATGGCGGTGAATAATAGATAATGTCAAGTGGCTTCAGAGTTGGCAAAGCATTATTTTGCAGTATAAATTTTAACAAGACCAAATTTGTGGAACGTAGTCGGAAGTCGGAAGTAGCTCTTTCCTCGTAAAGTACCAGAAAATAATAGTTTAAGTGAAGTGCAAGATACGTACTCAGGAAATGCACTTCGAGTAAATTACAAGTTTTCTAAACCCAATTGAAGTAGTACTTTAAGTACAATGTACCTAGAGTACTTTCCAACACTGTCTTCTGTACTATATATTATTTTTATATGAACAGTGTGACTGCGCGGCGTAAGTCTCGGCTGTTCAAGATGTCGAACGACGCTCAGTGTCCCGTTTGTATACGTTGTTCCCTATTTAGTCATTACGCCCAACCGTCCCGGCAAACTAGAGCATCACCCGACTTCCTCGCACATGAGGAAATAATAGAAGCGGCGAGTTGTTGGCAAACAAGACGGCCGCGCGACTGCGCGCATTATAAAGCCTGCGGCGACTACGCACACACAAGCGTCTCTATAATTCCAAACCCAGGAACGGCAGTGTGGGAAAAAACAGCGGATCGCCCAAGCTGGGCTATACAATTACGCGTGGGTCAGAGATGCACGCCTTTGAGAACGACGGGGCGGTCGGGTGTCCAAACCGCCGCCGCCGCCGCTGCGTTGTTGCACGCACCGACTTGACGACGACGACGGCGAGGCAAGACTCAGCGCGCCCGCCTCGCGTTCGCAGGGCGTGAATCTGGGATCCATTCCGCGAGAATCGGCCCACGTTGAGCGAGAGAAACATTCAGCCGTGCTGTGTGCGCGCGTGCGTGTGCCCGCGCGTGTGTGTATATGTGTGCATGTGCGCGCATTCGGTGCTCATTATATATACGACGCCACGATTCGCGTGCTGCTTGGCGTGTGCGCGTGTATCGCATCGTCGCCTGGGAAACGGACCTAAGCAAGCTGAGCCTTGGGAAACAGAAAGGAGCGCAACTTTGTGGCGGAGTTTGGGCGATGCGTCTATAGCGTCTGGACGAAGTGAGAGTAGGGGCATTGGCCGTTTTAGAGCCGGAGATGGTAGGCGTCTTGAACCGTCAACTTCCTGGGTAACTTTAAGGAGATGGATGGAAGGGACTGACTGAGCAACTGCCGTTCCTCGGACGCGTGAAAAGGCCGTTCATATTGCGAGAATCTGCCGAAATGCGCACTGTGCAACGCCGTTAGCGCAAACAATGCGACTGCCATTGTTTGTTAATATTTGGTTTTAATCGAAAGGCCGTGATTATTAAAATCGCTACTGCGGTGGAAAGGGCTCCCTTAGGGCACAAACCTGAGTGGTAAAATTTGGTGCCTGCCAATAGACCTATTGCGTCCGCAGCAGTAACTGTTCTAAATCAAAAGCTTAAAACAAATGGCATCTTGCACGCGCGTTCGTCGACGCTTTAATTTGGTTATTTAATTCGAATCTTTATACGCGGAAGGCGAGCTCGTGCGGCGCGTAGACTCCCCTTCCCAGCATTCTTTTCGTCACAACGCCGATCTTTGATTGGAAAGATAAGTGGGTAGACCTAAACCTACCTTCCTTTGTCTCCATAGCCAAATGGCCGTGCCATAGCAGAAGAAAAAGGAAGCAAAGAGAGAAGGCAGAGCGCGCTCTTGGCTCGTGCCGTCCGGCAGAACGCCACAGACGAAGCAGAGAAGAAAGTGAATTCAGAACTAATATGAACATAACAGCTCTATTATCTTTCGAAGTGCAGTGCGAAAAAGCACCGCTCTTCTGTTCGCTAAGGTTTCGTACACTGTTCGCGCTCACAGTGTCGCGCACTGTAAGTTAGTCACCGCAACGAAAGGGTTTGCTTACTTATAATGAAAGCTTTTGTCGCTTCAGCTTTGATGCAGATTGTTTTGACAGTTTTATAGTGTGTATGGGATAGTTTACGACACAAATAATGATACTAATAAGATCGTCGAGCGAGCGTCCACCAAAATGTCGCATTTCCAAACCCAAAAATCTTGTTCTTTTTTTTTTTTCGATCCCTGCATCTGTTTTAATGTAGCTGGGCATAATATTGTCGCGAAGCTGAGCTCGCACGCGTGTTTTGTCTAGCTTTATTGTATTTCTTCTCCGAGGGGTCATTCGTCTCTACGGCACGTCACGTCACATCTGCTGGAGTCGGGAGGCACCGAGGCGAACGTGAACGCTGTAACCTTACACTTGTTTCTAGAGCTCCGCGTCGGAGTTGTTTTGAGGTAGTCTTGCTCCGGGTATAACTTCTCTATCTTCGAATGTGCTTTGTATTGTATATATCGCTCTTGTGAGCTTCGTTCGGAAGCTCTTTTGTCTTGTGCATGCGGTTGTCTTGGGGATCTTCATATTTTCTCTG